TTCATGCCTTGGTGCATGCAGGTGCTTCTGCCTCGAATGGCCATCCCCTCCTCCCTCACCTGGTAAGAGCTCAAGAGCCTTCCTCAGGTTTCCTCTAGGCTGTTAGTTATCCTATTCCTATACTCTGTTGGCATTGTGCATTTACCTCACTTAGCACTTTGTATTGTTATCTGATACAGTGTTTCCCCGACCAGCCTGTGAAATCTTAAAGAACAAGGACCATGTCTTATTCATCTTTTTAATTGTATTCTCTTACACAGTGTGTACCCCCAAAATGCTCACCGAATTAGTGGAATGAAATTTGACAAACATATCCTACATCCTACACTCAAGCAAACTCAAATATAAATGAATTCAAGGTAGGCAACTCTTCCAAGATTAACGGAAAGTTAGACAGGGAGTAGAGATACAAATGAACAAAACAAATACCTCCTGAGTTCCTGCTGCTCAATCCTCAATTCTATAGAATGGAACCAGTCCTTCAATGGTATTAATGTTTACTTGGTGAGGTAATCTCATCCTGAGTCTTAACAACACATAAGCACAAGGCAAATGTTTCCTGCATGAGTAAACACATAAAGACACTCAAATTCTGGAGTATGTGTCATTAAGGATAAAAAGTTGAGTCTACTTTATATATTTTAAAACAAATCCTTACAGACGAGGGAAATTCCTGTCCTTTTACACTGCAATCACATGACTTCATTATTCATTAGTCCTAAATGCAATTTAGGCTGCACACATAGCAAACATTGTCTGCCAACTGAGTAATAAACCAGAACTACTTGTTTTTCACAGAAAGAGGAAATTTTGTAAATGTATAAATGTTAACCCTAAGTGAACAGGGAGACTGGGGTGGGATAAAGGGGAGGGATAAATGAGGCACTATTTAATTTTTTTTGATCTATTCAATTTCTGAAATGTACTTTTAACACTATAAATAAAAAAAATTTTTTCACTGTCAATTTAAAAGATTCATCAGCCTTTGTCTAGCTTTTCTCTTCAATTATTGCCCATGGCAGGAAAAAAAAAGACTGTCCTAAAAAGGTCTTGATTTCAAGTTCAAAGCCAGTATAACTTAGAATGATGATCCTTGATTTCAAATCAAAAGACTAAAGGAATTCTTAAAATTCATTAATTATTATCAGTGAGGCTTAAGTGTTGCTATTGTACATAGCTGCAAATCTACCCATACACATCTTTGTGGTAAATTCTCTTTTTTAAAATCAATGGACTAGGACTCTTTGTAAATTTAGAATATAAGCTCCAAAAGGGAGAGATCTTTGAATATTTCATTCACTGATGTCTCCCAAGGATCTAGAAGAGTACTTGGCACAGAGCAGGCATTCATTACATACTTGCTGAACACTGCTCAAGATGGTCCAAAAACTTAACATGTCAGTATACACAACGAGCTGCAGGTCCTCAAGGAACATCAAGAGGAGGTCTGGGTTCATCTTGAAATCATCACTGACTTAGCCCTCACACACAGTGTTGCCCAAAACAACTGATACTACACACAAAAGCAAACTGACAATGCATAGGAACCTAAAATAAAACATTTTTCACAGGACTCATTAAGATTCTGAACTTTAAAGCTTGCCAAAGAGCTGGCAAAAAACAAAAATGTCACTGGCACAATCAAAATTTTCAACAAGCACAAATTTTTGCACTTTTTTTTAGACAATTCAATTCCGAAAGAGCCATGGAGCTTCAACAACAGCAACAAAAACTGTAAGGATTTCACTTAAACAGCAGTGCATTTACTACAAAATTTCATTTCCAGTATTATAAAGCAGGCCTGACATTTCTTTTATCAATTGACCTAACTACACCAAAAGAATACTGCTAAGCAATATATTTCTGAATATACCTAAAACTGCCAATTCTGTTGCTGTTTCCCACCACTAAAAGTACAATGTAAACATTTATGACACTGTTATTTTTAGTTTTCCCTATTAAAAGCCATCATGAGGCCGGCCCCGTGGCCGAATGGTTAAGTCCGCACACTTCACTTCAGCAGCCCAGGGTTTCACTGGCTCAGATCGCAGTTTCACGGCACTGCTCATCAGGCACGTTGAGGTGGCGCCCCACATGCCACAACTAGAAGGACACACAACTAAAATGTATAACTACGTACTGGGAGGATTTGGGGAGAAAAAGCAGAAAAAAAAACGAAATAGTAAATTGTTGGGGCCAGCCCCATGGCCGAGTGGTTAAGTTTGCACGTTCCACTTCAGCGGCCCAGGGTTTCACTGGTTCCGGATCCTGGGCGCGGACATGGCACCACTCATCAAGCCATGCTGAGGTGGCGTCCCACATGCCACAACTAGAAGGACCCACAACTAAATATATACAACTACGAACCAGGGGGATTTGGGGAGAAAAAGGAAAAACAAAATCTTTAAAAAAAAAAAAAAAGCCATGATGAGCATTTAACTGTAAATTAGGCTATGTTTTAGCCCTTATTTATGGGTTACCCTCTCACCCCTTGTTTATCTGCTACTAACTAACGATGACCTTTAGCTTAGTCTCTATCTTCTCCGTTCTGGTCCTCAGTTCTCTTCTGTAGAATGAGGGACCTGAGTTAAAACAATAGTTCTTAACTGTTTTTTTGCAACCGTTTGAGAATCTGGTGAAAGCTACAGGTGACCTCTCCATAAAAATGCACATACACAAATAACAATTTTACAAACAACTATTTATAATAGCAAAAGTTTGGAAACAACCCAGATGTCCACCGATAGATGGTTACATAAATTATGCTGTATCTATTTGATGAAATTCCTTGCAACTGTAAGTAAAGAAACCTTCCATGTATGTGTATGAAAAGATTTTCATCATGTATTGTTACATGAAAAAAGCAAGTTACAGAACAGTGTACAACCTTTTGTATAAAAAGATCAAAAAATAAATATATTTGCATTTCCATGTAGGAGCACAAAGAAACTGTGGAAGAAGAAACAAGAATCTTTGGTGGAAGTGGGAAATAAGGAAAGGGGTAGGAGGAACCTTTTCATTGTATACTTTCTTATATTTTTGTTTGAATTAGTGAATGCCCTATTAAACTTTGAATAAAAAAATATATATATAACCTCAAGAGGTCCAGACAACCCACTGAAGCTAGAAGATAATTTCTAAACTCTGTTCAGTAATATTCTTCTATAATGCACTGATTTAATAAGCATGTAATTATACACCCTCAATGATCCAACAAGAACATTTAAGGAAAAATATTTTTCATTATGGTCCAAATATAAACATATAAAGCAATTGGTGGATACTCAGTTATTCTATAGATCCTAATTTGGAAACTCATTTTATATCATTTTCCTTGATCACTGATACACATTTTATGACGAATTTCTTCAAGGGAAGAAGTCTGCACAAATCATGAAGCCATACTCCCTCTCATGGTTCAAATTTCAGACCTGATATATCACAAGGGAGTCCAGGCTTTGGAAATAAAAATAGAAATTTCTATTCTATTTGACCACATAATCAATAGTACTAGTAAGGAGACCAGAAAAATAGGGTCTTATTTTTGGCCATAATCTCAGAATTTGAAGCAATTAAATAGCATATGAGATCATCACACAGCATCCAATAATTAGATGACATCTAGGGAGGCCTTCATCCCTGATTTGAGTAGGAATCAGAGGGAATTGGGTTTTCATCCTTAGGCAAGTTACTTAACCTCCTTGGGCCTCTTTTTCATCTGTAAAATGGAAATTAAAAAACCTATCTCATAAGAATGTTGTGAAGCTTAAAAGAATATAAATAATAAGGGACATAGAAAGACACAGAAATAAAAGTAAGGTATCCTAGGACGGTGGCAAGTGTCTGAGCGCTTGAACCAAAACAGACTGCATTCTGGAACCTGTAGTTTCTAGGGACTGGACTTTCATTCACAAGCAACGCCTCCTTTTCCCTACTGAAAATAACACATGGCAGAATTCCCAACACAAGAGGTGCAAATATCTGGCCTTTCCTGATTATGTGTCTTATGTGTCTTTAAAATCTCCTCCTAGGTAAGTGTCTCTTATCAAAGAGCTGTAGATCTTGTGTTGACTGGGTGTGTGTCAAAAAGAGTCCTAAGTTTATAACACAGTTTTGTTTTGTGTTTTAAACAGGGCACTTTCTATGTCAAGCTCAGCACCAAAGAGCGGCAGGCTTCGGGGGGGGGGGGGGGGGGGACAGGCAAAGAAGTTGAAGTCAACAGTCCTGCAACAGACTTTTAATTGCCCGAATGACAGAAGGAAACCTATGCTGCCATGGAGATAGAAGCAGCCCCTGTCAACCATTTCCATTCCAAATCTCCACTTCCAAAACTTTTAAATCCCACCCAGCTTTTTACCTCGAGTTCTACTGAAGCTTATTATTAGTATTATTATAAATACAAAATAGCCGTCATTTATTGCTTCCTCACTAGGTGCCAAGCTCTGTGCTAAACAGGCATTGCTCAAGATTTTGCGAACACTGGACATGGCAAGCTCATTCCCTCAACCCACTCTACTCTCAAGTCTGAAAGGCTCCCTTCACATCCTCGAATTCAACCTGTCCCCAAAACTCCGGACACTCCACACTAACCCACTCGGGCCCAGGAGCCACATCTCTCCAAGCCATTCGAACCCAAGCTCTTCCACAACACGAAATCAAGCACTTCTCTGGTCCTCCACGGCCCCTGCAAAGTTCAGTGCCCTCTTCCCACAGCCCGCTTCCAGCCTTGCCCTAAGTTGTTACAAGAACGCTACGGTTCCCTCCAAACTTCTGACTTACGCAAAGCGCCGGGGCCCCTCCCTGGCCCCCCCAATCCATCGCGCCCGGACTCCATCCCGAAGTTCACATGCAGAAGCGGACTCCGCACCTGGCAGAGCCCGCTTCGACCCCACGAGAACTCTCCGCCCCGCTCGAGTCGGGCCTGGGACCCTCCACCCCCTAAGCAGGCCGGGCCGGGCGCGCGGCCTCGCTCGGGACCCCAAAGGGAGGGGAAGCTCCACCTGGCTCGGCGGGCGCTGCGCGCGGCTCCGGCTCCGGCCTGGGCCCCGCGGCGGCCGCGCCCCCGTCCCGGCGCGGGCGGCAGCGCTCGGGCTGGCCGCGGCGGGCGCGCTCGCCCGGCACCTCCGCGTCGGCCTGGCCGTCGTCGCGGGCCCGACGGCGGGCCCAAGCCGGGCCGCGGGCGCGGCAGCGCTGGCAACCTGGGCCCGCGGCGTCGGCGGCGCGCTGGGCGCAGCCTCGGCACAGCGAGTGGCCGCACGGCAGGGCCGCCGCTTCCCCCGGGGTCTCCAGGCACCCGGCGCAGCCCGACTCCTCCGGCCGCGGCGGTGGCGGCGGCTGCAGCAACGGCGGCGGCAACACCAGCAGCGCGGGGCCAGAGGCCGGGCCCGGGGCCCCAGTCTTGGCAGCCGCCATCTCGTCACAGCGGCCCCGCCGGCCCCGCCGACTGAGAGCCGCCGCTGCCGCCGCAGAAGAGGCCCGAGTACTCGGACCTGCTGCCGCCATCTTGTTTCCCGTTTGAGGGGAGAGTCCGTTGCGAGGGAGAAGAGTAGAGGGCGGGGCAGTGCGCGGCGGGCATCTCTATCTACATATTCATGAGGGGGCGGGGCTCCAGGGAGCCGGAGGAGGCTCTCCCAGGACCTGGTTGGTGGGAGGTGAGACTCATTAATATTTATTAGCTACCCTTTATATATCCGGTCTTCACCCTAGCCCTCCAGTCTATGCAATTTTCTCTTATTGAACCAAATGAAATTGAGAACTGAGGGGATTTGTTTGGAAATTCTGAGCGATATTTAAACTTTGTGAATCACTCTTATTTGTCCTCCAGTACGCTGATAACTGAAGCTGAAGTGAGTGGGGAGTATGCAAATTATCCAGAGCCCTGCCTCAGCGCTTCATTGGATGCGAGGGTAGCTGTTGTGACTGAGACCAGGCCTACTGTGACCAGCAACTAACTGCCAAAAATAACAGCTTCTTGTCATCCTCGTGTCCATATGCTCCCTCTCCGCATCCCTTCCTGGAACTCCCTCCCTTGGCTGGCAAAACCATACTTTCCTGCTTTTTCCCAACCCCTCAGCTCTTTCTCAGACTCCTTCCTTGAGCCCTCCCCCTTGTTTTGGGCTTAAATGTGGGTGTTCCTTTAGGCTCAGGCCTCAGTCCTCTTCTCTTCTTACTCTCTCCGTGAGCCCCGCCCCCCGCCCCCGCCCCTCACTTCTTCCAGCTGAAACTCCCACGTTGATATCTACAGTCCAGACTTCCTGAGTGCAGCCCTGATGGAAACATCATCTTGGATGTCTGCATCACTCATGTACAGCACTAAAGTCACTGTCTTCCACCCTCCTTTCAAAACAGCTCTTCTTTTTTCTCTCATTCTATTAAAGGTACTATCCTCCCAGTTCCTCAAGCTCGAAATCTGGTAATCTTTACTTCTCCTTCCTCTCCCACATCTGTCAGTTTCTTAGTCCTGTCAAGTCTCTCACCAAACGTCTGTTTTCCCAGCTATCCTCTCTTCTTCATCCCACTCCCACTGCCCAATTCAGGTCTCGTCTCTCACCTAGATTATTCAGTAGCTTCTACAGATGGTCTCCCTGCCCAGTCTCTCTTCCTCCAATCCATCCTCCACAGCTCTTAGAGTTGCTTCCTAAAAGACAGCTCTGACTGTGTCATTCCTGTTTAGACGAGTCACTGGGTGAGGTACCTAGACTTTGATGCCAGACCCTTTCTGGATGCAGAGGGTGAAGTCTATCTATGGTCCTCTGATAGAAAGATAGTTCTACAAAAAGAATTCTCCCACCTTTTGCTTTTTTGCACTAAGGTAGATTTGGAGCAGGAAAGCATTAAGTAAATGGCATTTCCTGTTGGGAATCTTTATAGGAAAACACAAGTTTTGTAAGGAGAACAAAATTTTAAAAAGCGACATAATGTAATGGAACACATGGGTTTCCATGAGATTGCCCAGAAACAGTGCCTGAGCTGGTGGTAAACAAATCCAAGGTGGAGTGATTGGTGGAAGTCAGCAGAAAAAAGAAGTGGATTCCCAAGATGAGAACCAGATGGCTAAAGGACAGTCAAGAACTGAGGAAGGGTCAATGAGTAATTGAAATAAGGGTTTGTGTACACAGAGGCCCACACAGTCAGAATCCTGCCAAACGCAGAAGTATGGCTTGGACTGGACTGTCCTTTATCCCGGGGTCCTCCTCATTTCCCTCCCGACTTAAGGTGCTTGAGGACACTATGCCCAGATTCTGACAAGGGAGGCCTGTGGTCCAGAGATCAAGCCAACTACCACTAGAAACAGGCTGCTCACTCTTGACAGTCTGGGCTCTTAATCTGAAACCTATTTGCTGTTGGAGGAGCTGAACCACGGAAGTGTAGCATGCTTTCTTGGATACAAATAAAGACGGGAAATTTCCTTTTGCAGAAGGAAAAAGCAAAAGGTCTGAGTAGGCCTGGACCAAAAGCTGGGATATCTGAGATTGTTCCTGGCCCTTTCCCCCCGCCTTCATTAACTCATTGTGTGATTTCAAAGAGGTCTTTGTTGGCCTGTGTTGGCCTCAACCTCCTCATCTTTAAAATGAGGGTGTTGGAATTCAGCAGTATTCAGCCTGGGATGTACCTCACACACACCCTGAAGTCCCACCTCAGATCTACTGAACCCCAAAACTGCAGGTGGGACGCCAGCATGTATATTTTTTAATGCCATAGGAATTCTAATGTCTACACCTAGATAAGACCACTACAACAGATAAATGCGAAGGAATCTTCTAGCGCTAACATTCCACAAGTCTTATTCCCAATTTCCAGTCTCTTCTCTTCTCTATGCTGTTGCCAAAGTAATCTTACCAAAGCAGTGGCAGTGACAGAAGGCAAGGCAAATCTAAGAAATCTGTGGGAAAATGAGGGAGATGAGGATAATTCTAAAGTTTCAAGCTTAGGGCGCTGAAATTATGATCACAATTGACAACTGACAAAAACAGAATAACTAGAAAGCAAAACCAGTCTGGAAGATGAGGGCATGGTGGATATTTTGTTTAGTTTAGATTACCATCAGCATCCAAACCTCCTTCCTGCTTGTGGGAATGCCCCCATTCTAAGCAGTATTACTGAGACTGGGGAGCTGAAGCAGGGAGATACTCTGCTCCGTTCCCCCAGCATGACATATGACCCGGGCTCGGCCACCTGGCCACTCCTTTCTGATCTTTGAATCTTCAGAGAATGACACAAAGGCATATTGACAAGTTTCAACAGAGACAATGGATGTCCACCTGTACTGGGTCCCTGATGGGGGTTGGGGGTGAGGGATGGTGTCCCTACCATAGTGAGGGTGGACATGCCCTGACATGTGCCTCATGTTCTTGAGGTACAAAGATGGTTGTGATGCCTGCTGCCTTGCCTTCCTAGGTTACAACCCATTTTCCATATCCGACTCTCCAGCTTTCCTTGTCAACTCTCTGTATCCTTTCAGTAAATTCTTCTTTTTCTTAAATTACTCACAGTGTCTGTTGTTTGCATCAAAGTATTCTGACTGAGACATTGACTTGCTGAGTTTTGTTTTTCTTTAGGAAAATTAGCCCTGAGCTAACTGCTGCCAATCCTCCTCTTTTTGCTGAGGAAGACTGGCCCTGAGCTAACATCCGTGCCCATCTCCCTCTGTTTTATATGTGGGACGCCTGCCACAGCATGGCTTGCCAAGCGGTGCCATGTCTGCACCCGAACTGGCGAACCCCCGGCCATCAAAGCGGAACGTGCACACTTTACTGCTGTGCCACCGGGCCGCTCCTTCGTTGCTGTTTTTGAAATGTCACCTGAAAATGGTTGTCAAGGGTGCTTTGTAAGTTATAAAATGACCCAAGGAGCTTGGTCCAACAATCTAGAGTAGAAGGGGCCTGAGTTGTATGTGTTGCTTTTTTTCTAAGCCCCCACCTGTACCACAGACCACCAAGGGAGGAGGTACTCACAGAGTCACTTTAATGCAGCCATCAAGGGTGCCAACTGGAACAGATAGCAGTGCGGCCACACCTACCACTGCTTCCTCTCCAGCAGCTTTGGCTCTGCCACTGCTGCCATACTTTCTGAGGACTGCGTTGCTGCCAAAATTCCCTGCCATCCTTCTCATAGTGTGCCCACCTAAATAGCTCTCCACAGTTCCGTACCACCACTATCCCTTCAGTATTCACCCACATCACTGCAAACCTTTCTTCTTCCCTCCAGCTGGAGGCTCCAGCTTCTCCCTGCGGGACTGAAAGACTCAGATGTGCAGCAAGGCCATTCAGCCTAGTTCCAGGTGGTGACAGGCTGTTTCTTCCTGCAGGCCCAAGAACCTCTTCTTGCCAGCCCAGGCGCTGAGTCCATCCTGAGACCTCACACATTTAGGAACGAGAAGGATCTCTTCCTCAGACCACCCCAGTGCCACCTCTCCTTTATCCTCCTCGTCTCTCTGGGTGGCATCTTCTTCCTGTACTCTTGGTTGAGCCAGATTTCCCCTTGAGATTTGGCCCCTTCCCTTTTGCTTTAAAGATTCTTGCTACATTCTTACTATCACTCTTCTTCAGTTCCTTCCCTTTTGCTTCAGAGGAAGAAGTAGTTCTTTTTGCAAAGGTAAACCCTCTACCTGTCATCTTTCCAGCCTCCTCCAGAATCTTTCCACTCTACAAATACAGATGAAACTTGGTCTCTGCCCCCCTCAAGTTCACGGCCTAACATAGAGGCACAAGTATAAATAATTATAACATAAAAAACGAATTATAATAAAATTAAAAGCTCTATAGCTGAGACACATACAGAGTGCTGTGGAAGCAGAGAGCAAAGATGGGGGGTTGGGAAAGGTTTCACAGAGGAGGGGACATTTGAGCTCTGTTTTGAAGGATGAAGAGGAGTTCACCAGGTCGACAGAGGTGAACGCATTCCAGGCAGAGGGAAAACAAGAGCAGAGGCACACAGGTGTATAGGTTCAGGGTCTGTGTGGGACAGATAAGGAATTCGATGTGGCTAGAACATTGGGCTGGACATTAGGCTGGAAAATTGGAAAGAAAAAGAACTAGAATTTATGGAGTAACTACCATATGCTAGGCACATGCTAAGCAATAATGTATGTATCTCATTTAAGCTTAAATTAACCCTGTGAAGTTAGTATACTGTTATCTCCATTTTGCAAAGGAATAAACTCATGATATTTGTGGACCATTGAAAGATTTAATAGTTGGACCAAAGGAGTGTTACTTATGGATTTACAGTTTATAAGGGTAACTCTCGATCCTATAATTATCAGTAAGGAATAAAAATAACCTAAGCAGACTTCATCCCACCCCTATGGAGGTGAGATATCATTGGAGAAAGTATAGTGCAGCTAACATTCGTTTGTTCAACAAATAGCTGTTGAGCACCTACAGTGTGGCAGGATAATATGGGTGCTGAGAATTCAGCAGCAAAAAGGGAGGCAAGATATGGACGCTGAGCTGGTTTTGGTGGGGCTAACTTTAGGTACAGTATTTGGCACATTCCAGATGCTGTGGAGTGAATGAATGTTATCCCCTTAGTTATGCCTTTAATGTTTAGCAAGATTCAAAGTACAGTGCATTGTCAGAAAGAAAAAATTTTGTTTAACAAGCATACT